TGGACTGGGAGGGACTGGGATGGGAACTGGGGTCACTGGGGCTGGCCCCCCTGAGGGTGCTGAGCCTGGACATTGAGTGCGCCGGCAGGAAAGGTAACTGGGATGGACTGGGATATACTGGGATGGACTGGGATGGACTGGGAGGGACTGGGATGGACTGGGATATACTGGAATGGGAACTGGGGTCACTGGGATGAACTGGGAATGGGGACTGGGGTCACTGGGGCTGCCCCCCCTGAGGGTGCTGAGCCTGGACATCGAGTGCGCCGGCAGGAAAGGTAACTGGGATGGACTGGGAGGGACTGGGAGGGACTGGGATATACTGGGAGGGACTGGGGTCACTGGGATGAACTGGGAATGGGAACTGGGGTCACTGGGATGAACTGGGAATGGGAACTGGGGTCACTGGGATGAACTGGGAATGGGAACTGGGGTCACTGGGGCTGCCCCCCCTGAGGGTGCTGAGCCTGGACATCGAGTGCGCCGGCAGGAAAGGTAACTGGGATATACTGGGATGGACTGGGATGGACTGGGATGGACTGGGATATACTGGGAGGGACTGGGATATACTGGGATGGACTGGGAGGGACTGGGATGGACTGGGAGGGACTGGGATGGGAACTGGGAACACTGGGGTTAACTGGGATTAACTGGGATGGGAACTGGGGTCACTGGGATGGACTGGGAATGGGAACTGGGAGCACTGGGGTTAACTGGGATGAACTGGGAATGGGAACTGGGGTCACTGGGATGGACTGGGATGGGGTTTTTGGGTTCCTGAAGTGGATTTTGGGGTGAATTTTGGGGTTTTTGGGGTCCTGAAGTGGATTTTGGGGTGAATTTTGATGTTTTTGGAGTTCTTGAAGTGAATTTTGGGGTGGCTTTGGGGTTCTTTGGGGTTTCTGAACTCAATTTTGGGGCGGTTTTTGGGGTTTTTGGGGCTCCTGAATCCGATTTTGGGGTGAATTTTGGGGTTTTTGGGGCTCCTGAACCCGATTTTGGGGTGAATTTTGGGGTTTTGGGGGTTCCTGAACTCGACTTTGATGTTTTTGGGGTGCCAGGGGTGTTCCCCGAGGCGCAGCAGGACCCGGTGATCGCCATCGCGGCCGTGGCGCTGCGGCAGGGCGCGCGGGAGCCGTTCCTCAGGGTGGTCTTCACCCTCCTGGAGTGCGCCCCGCTGCGAGGAGCCACCGTCAGGAGCTTCCCCTGCGAGAGGGAGCTGCTCCAGGTGAGGATTTGGGGTGAAAAACCGGGATTTTGGGAAATTCCGGAATTTTCGGGGATTTTTTTGGGATTTTTTTGGG